CATTCTTCAAATTGCCTGGACTTAACCATCTCACTGGTCCTTCATTAATTAATGGGTATTCACCTCACACTTGCATAGAAGTCACATTTTTAAGCCCTTGAAAATGATCCTTCAGTATCGCTGCTTTGTGCATGTTCATTTCAGGACAGAGGAAAATGAGTATGTTGAGGTTACTGGGAACTAGGGTTCCCACGGAGGAGAAATAGAGATAAACCAAGGGAAGGGGCGGAGGAAGACCATGGTGCCGCGCCTGAACTGGAGGGATCCTTATTTTGTGAACTCTGCTCACTGCGTCGCCTAGAAGCAACCACACCAATGAGCCCCTCTAGAGCCCAGATCTTGGTTCCTAAATGCCACTCCCCAGCACTCCTTGAAGAAACGGCAGGTTGCAGAGATGGGGCTGGGGAAGCCCAGGGAGAGCCTGGGAGGCTCGGTGTGCCACACATGGAGAATGTACTCGCTAACTGATGGGGAAGTGCCCAGGGACCCCGGGGCCATCTTAGGGGCTTCCCACGGGCCAGGTTAGGGACAAGCCAAGCACTGAAGAGAATAATGGAATTATTAAAGTAGAACGCTCTGAAATTTTTAAACTGAGCATTCAATGATATTCAGAAACAGAGCAGAGCTAAAGAAAGGCTCTTCTTTGTAGAAAAATACCAGATAACACACACAGAGAAGAAATAAAAGAACACAGTTCCTCTGCGTCGCCCTGCAGATGGCTTGTTAATCACACAGCGGTGACAGATGCCACTGTACCCAACCACTCGTATTAGCATCATGAAAACTGGAAAACAACTGGCTTCTCGTGGGAGACACTGACACCTCACAGCCAATGCCACATTCTTGCCCAAAGTACAAAACCTGAGTCTAGCCCTGAAGCAACAACCAGACAAACCCAGGCTGTGGGATGTTCTACAAAACAACTGGCCGTGACACTTCAAAAATGTGAATTTCCTGACCAAAGCCAGCTCATAACTCACAGGGCCCAGTGCAACAAGAAATACAGGCCCCTTCTCCAGAAATGATGATGATTTCCAAACAGGATGGCAGCAGACCACACCAAGCAGGGGGCCGGGAGAAGGCAGGGTCCCTTCTGCTCACACAGATCATGCATGGTCTATGAAACCTGCCCTGTTCATGTGGACAAAAAAGGCATGTCCCCATTTAGGACCAAGGACAAAAAGGTCAAGACAACAAAATGCAGTGCCTGCCCCTTGATTCTATCCCCAATTTAAACAACTGCAAACCCTGTAAGACTGTTGGGAGAGGGGGGTACTGAGGAAATCTGACTACAGGCTTTAGAGCAAATTTTATTGTATCAGCGTTAAATTTCTCAAGCATAGTAATGACACCGGGTTACATAAAAGAACATCCTTGTTTCAAGGAGACACGTGCTGCTGTATTTAGGGGTGCGTGTCTGCAACTTACTTTCCAGGGGTCAGCAGAAAAAGAGCCAGAGGCAGAGAGAAAGCAAACTGGCAGAACTGCAGACTCCCATCGAATCTCAGGAGTCACTTTTCTTTCAATTGCTGAATTTCTTAAACTTTTAGGGGAGAATTCACTTGCCAGCTCAGAATCTCTAAGGAAAGTAGTGAGCAATGGCATAAAAACAAATTAATGAGGTTCTATATAGAACGAGGGTTTTCACAGATCTTGGAATAAAAAGGATGAAGGAAAGAAAAAATGAGAGGCCCAGGTGATCCCGTCTCCAGGTGAGAATCACCACCAGAAGGAAGGGAGAGCCAATCAAGGCGGACACAGGACTCAGAGAGAGAAGAGAGAGAAATGGTTCCTAAAGTCAAATGCACACCACTATACGTCAAAACACACAAACCTTAAGTAATTGAGATACATGATGGTGGGGCTTTTTGTTTTCTTCCAATGTTAAGGGCAGGGGCAGGAGATAATTGAAAGTATCAACAAAAATGCAAAAAAAGCAGGCTGGGTCAGACTATTCTACAGGAGAGGAGGAGAGGAGAGGGCAAAATACGGTGCCCGATACTATCATTCATGTGTGAATACAAAAGAAAAACTCTTCCAAATGCACAAGAATTCATAAAGTCCATCATTGGTACTAAACCACAGCAAGTATCTTGAAGATATTTCAGAGATCTTTCATAAATCACTAAGAAAACAAATCTTTTTTTTTTTTTTTTTTTTGAGACAGAGTCTCAAGCTGTCACCCTGGGTGGAGTACCGTGGCATCATAACTCACAGCAACCTCCAACTCTTGGGCTCAAGTGATCCTCTTGCCTCAGTTTTTCTGTTTTTAGTAGAGACAGGGTCTCGCTCTTGCTCAGGCTGGGCTCAAACTTGTGAGCTGAAGCAATCCACTCACCTCTGCCTCCTAGAGTGCTAGGATTATAGGCGTGAGCCATCATGCCCAGCCAAGAAAATAAACCTCTTAATCATATTTTCCCGATCTAATCCCTGTCCCTGGTTCTCACCATCCAACACTCCTGATAACACTTTGAACAGCTCCATTCTCTCCCCATGAAGCCTCTTCACTCAGATTCCATCGCATTTCCAAGTTCTGACAGCCAAAACCACCCCACATGTCTCTAACTCCCTATCCTTTACTTATATGCCCTTCGCTGTTGGTGTTACCCCCCATCCTGAAGCCCTAAAGCCATCCCAGCCCCACCTGTCCTCCCCCGTCACCTGACAAACGGCTTCCCGCCCTTCTCTGAGCTCTGAACCCCTCCCCACCCCGTCACCACACTGCGGGACCCCCACACACTGTGTCCACATCTCTAGGGATCTTGTCCCTGCCTTCCTCTCATTTCTCC